GATGGAGAATTTGGCTTGGAGTAGAGTTCTAGGATGGAAATATCTTTCCCTTAGACTTTTGAAGGCATTGCTCCATTGCCATCTCATTTTCAGTGTAAAGCTATTCTGATTATTGATACTTGATATCATTTTTTTCTCTGTTTCAGCTTATAAGATTTCACCTCCTTTATCTCAAGTGCTCTGGCATATCCCCACACAGGATCACTGCCACCAGTATTTCTGGGTGCCTGGTAGGAAATAAATCCCCACAGGGATAGTTTTTTTTTTTTTTTTTTTTTCCCCATGCAAAGCCAAGATGCTACAGGGCCAGACAGCTGCATTGCACATCCAGGTGGAAAGCTAGGTCTTTTATGTTAAGCCCCTTTCACTTTGTCTGTGGGCAAGTCCAGTTTGACCCACTAGAAATAGGCACACCATACAAGAAAATCATCGGCCTTTCGTGTTCGGGCATCCAGACTCCCAGAAGAAAAACAGGTGTTCAGCGCCCTAGGTAGGCAAAGCCATCATATCAACATAGGGAATATTCCACAAGCCAAGTTCCCAGACTGTAGCCAGGAGCCAGCCCTGTGAGCAGGCCCTTCTAAAGATCAGTTCTGCTGTGTTAACACTTTCCTACAGGTTACCTTTACTGGTGCTCTTTATTTCTTTGTGTGGATTTGAGTTACCATAGACTGTCCTTTATTTTCTCGGAGCTGAACTTTAAGTTAGATCAAATAGCAAAAGCAGTCTGGGGACAGGGCTTTTGGTAGAGCTCCAAAACAGGTCATCCCCTTGGGTAGCTGTGAGGCTACCAGTTTTCATGGAGCTGGGGAGCCAGTGGGGGAGGAGGAAGAGTAGGAGTAGTGCCAAGTGAACCATGACCTGGCTGTTCTTAGTGAAGTTTACTAGTTTTGTTTTGTTTTGTTTTGTTTTGTTTTGTTTCTGTGTGTGTGTGTGAGAGTGTGACAGAGTTTTGCTCTTCTAGCCCAGGTTAGAGTGCAATGGCACGATCTCGGATCACTGCAACCTCTGCATCCCAGGTTCAAGCGGTTTTCCTGCCTCAGCCTCCTGAGTAGCTGGGATTACAGGTACCTGCCATCATGCCTGGCTAATTTTTGTATTTTTAGTAGAGACAGGGTTTCACCATGTTGGCCAGGCTGGTCCTGAACTCCTGACCTCAGGTGATGCACCCGCCTCGGCCTCCCAAAGTGCTGGGATTACAGGCGTGAGCCACCGGGTCAGGCCTGTTTTTTCTCGAATAAATGATTTTTAATTGATTGCTTGCCTTTGGTTAATTTCTAAAGTCATGAAATGATTGGTTTTGATAATTTTTTATTTTTCCAGTATTATCATTACTTTTGTGGGGGAGAGGATTTACTGAGGTCCTTCCTCTCACTCTGTCATTTCAGAAGTCTAGCCTAAAAGCCTTTCTTTTAAAACTGAAAAAAAGTACAGGAAATCGTAATTATAACAGACACCCTTGTACTTCCTTCCCAGAATTAGCAAATGTTAACATTTTGTCATTTTTTTAAAAATAAAAGAAACAGGCCAGGCACGGTGGCTCACGCCTGTAATCCCAGCACTTTGCGGGGCCAAGGCGGGTGGATTACGAGGTCAGGAGTTTGAGACAAGCCTGACCAAAACAGTGAAAACTCATCTCTACTAAAAATACAAAAATTAGCCAGGCGTGGTGGCGCGTGCCTGTAATCCCAGCTACTCAGGAGGCTGAGGTAGGAGACTCGCTTGAACTCGGGAGGCGGAGGTTGCAGTGAGCCAAGATTCCGCCACTGCACTCCAGCCTAGGCGACGGAGGGAGACTCCATCTCAAAATAAATAAATAAATAAAATTTTAAAAATAAGAAAGAAAAGAAACAGAGGTTTACAAATAAAGTTGAAGTCCAATTTTTCCCCTCCTGAGGCCTATTCCTTCTCTCTCTCCCCAGGTAAACAGTATCATGAATTTTGTGAGTATCCTTCTAATCTATGTTTTTATACTTTTGCTATGTATATTTGTACCTGTAATCAGTATAGAATTCTTTTTGTAACATTACCAGATTGGTACACTCAAATTATAGGGATCTTGGCCAGGCGCGGTGGCTCACGCCTGTAATGCCAGCACTTTGGGATCTGCCAAGTCGGGTGGATCACCTGAGGTCAGGTGTTTGAGACCAGCCTGGCCAACATGGTGAAACCCCGTCTCTACTAAAAATACAAAAATTAGCCAGGCGTGGTAGTGGGTGCCTGTAATCCCAGCTACTCAGGAGGTTGAGGCAGGAGAATTGCTTGAACCCAGAAGGCAGAGGTTGCAGTGAGCCAAGATCGCACTACTGTACTCCAGCCTGGGTGACACAGCAAGACTCCGTTTCAAAAAAAAAAAAAATTATAGGGATCTTTCTGCAACTTGCTTTCTGTGTTCAGTATTACCTTTTGAGCTTTATGCTGATACTTTAGATTTAGATCATTTATTTTAACTGCTCTGCTAGCATTCCAACATGAGTGTCATAGTTCATTTTCCATACCTTTATTGGTGAATGTTTGGTGGTTTCTAATATTTCGTTGTCATTCTTGTACATGTTAAAATTTGCCATAATTTCTCTATGGTATGACTACAAGTGGAATAGGTAGTAAGGCGTGTGTGTGTGTGTGTGTGTGTGTATGTATGTATGTGTATGTGTGCACATGTGCACATGTGTGTATTTTTTTTTTTGAGACAGGGTCTTACTTTGTCACCCAGGCTAGAGTGCAGTGTTGTGTACATGGCTCACTGCGACCTTGACCTCCTGGGCTCAAGCAATCCTCTTGCCTCAGTCCCCTAAGTAGCTGGGACTATAGGTGTGCGCCACCACGCCCAGCTAATTTTTTGTTTTTTTTTTTTGTTTTTTTTGTTTTTTGTGGAGACGGGTTTTGCTATGTTGCCCAGGCTGTATATTTTCAATAATACTAAATGTATTACCTCTTATCCATCATAAGTGGAATCAATTTGCCATGTATATTTAAGAGTTTCACATCTATGTAAGTGAAAATTGCTTTATAGTATTCTCGTATTTTATCCTTCTTTGCTTTTGGCATCAAGGTCATATAAGCATTGTCTTGCCAATTTTATTTTGGTTACTACGTGCCAGGTGTAGCTTTTCCCATAATTGTATTTTCAACATTTCTCTCTCATTTTGCCCTAACTGTCTTTTGAAAACATGGAGCTGATTTTTTAAAAATGCAATTTGATATGACTGGCATTTAACTAATAGAGTTAATATATATTTATTGTGAAATTACTATGTTTGTATTTCTTCTTTTAGTATATTTTCTACATAGCCTGCTTTTCATTACTTCTCTTTTCTTGCCTTTGATGGATTTTCTTTACCCCCTTTTTCCTCTTTAGTCATTATCCTTCTGAATAACTGAAGTATCAGGCATTATTCTTAGCCAGGTTTTGTGTATGGCAAATTCTTTGTCTTTTCTTGTCCAAAAATGTCCTTGTCATCTTTCTTTATGGTAATTTATCTGGGTATAGAGTTCTAAGATGAAAGTTTGTCTCGGGACAGTGAAGATATTATTCTTTAATCTTCTAGCTTCTTTTTTGAAGAAGTCTGATGCTGATATAATTATTTTTTTATAGGGGATATTTTTATTTATTCATGGTAGCTTACAATATTTTCTTTCTGACTTGAAAGCCTTGTGGCTGCACTGAACTTTGTCTAAGTGCAGACTTGTTTATTTACCACACTCAAGGACTTTGGACATTCAGTGGTAGGATACATGCCTTTCTTCCATTTTAGAAAAGAATCAGTCATTGTCTCTTCAAATACTGCCACTGCCTAGGTCAGGGGTTCCCAAGACCGCTCCCATACTCAGATATTCTCTAGAGAAACTCATGGGACTCAGCATATAGTTGTAATCATGGGTAAGATTTATTACAGTGATGTAGTAATGATAAACAACTGGATTATAAAGGAAAAAGGTACAGGCAGAATCTGGAGGCATCCATGTGCAGGCTTCCTTATGCTGTCTGCCTGTCATGAATACAGAGCACACTCTAACTCCAGTATCAAAGATGAATCAACATGTGTGATGTCTATGCCAGGGGAAGCCTATTAGAGACTAAGTGATTTCCCAAGATCTGTCATCTAATTTATTAAATCTGTCTTATCTGTGGCTAGTCTACTGTTCAACCTATTTAGAGTTTTTTTTAAAATAATGCCTACCTTAAAAATACTCATCTGGCTTTTTTCAAAATTTCCTGCTATTTCCTTCATAGTCTGGTTCTTACCTTATCTTTGTACATTTGAAATACACTTATTTTAAAGCGCAGATTGTTCTATTATCTACAGTTCTAGGAACGGGAGTATATTTAAATATATCGGTCAATTCTTTCTAATGATGGATCAGTTCCTTCTAAGGTTTTAAATTTTCTACTGTGAACTCCTCAGTGAGAGTTGGTTTTCCCTAGAAGTTCTGTGATGTCCGCAGCTATAAAGACATGAGTGTGTGTATATATAACTACAAGGACTCCCATCCTTGTTAAACAGGAAAGAATGTTATGTATAAGACATCAAAAGCCTAATTCTGTAACTCAATCCAAATGATTACAAGCATAGTACAGAGCCTATAAACTGAAACATTTCAAAAGTTGGTCTTGTTATGTGTAGGTTCATAGCAATGGCAACCTTTCATATATATATACACACACACACATATACACATACAATTATATGTGTATATATATAAGCTTTAAGCCAAAATTACACTCTGACTTTCCTGAATTCCTGAACATTTGTGCCCTATGGTCCCCTTCAAATCCTCAAGCTGCTCTGTTTACCCTCTCACTTTAAATTCCCACTTCATTTTGATACCTAATACATTTCTTTTCTTGATTTTGAGCCTGGGATATGGGGAGAGTCCTGCATCCACATCAGCTCAAGTCACGTTGATAGGAGTTCACTGCTTGGGCATTTAGGGATTAAAGTTATTTAATAAATTACAGTGGGAAGACAAGTTTGATGATTCATTGCATTTTCTTCTAGAAGTCTGGCAAATTGACGAGCAGACAGATCACTACAAGGAAAGCCAAGACAAACTTCTGTGGCAAGCTGCATTCACAGTCAAGGAAACACTGAAGGATGAAAGTGATCAAGAATGTAAAATACGTAGAAAAATCGTTTATCTCAACACAGACTTTGTTTCTGTGAAACAAAGACTCCCTAACTATTACTCATGGGAAATGTGTTCAAAACATAATTTAAACTTTCTTAGTCAAAATAGAAGCTATATAAGAAAGAAAGATGATGGATGTAAGGCATATTGGAAAGTATGCCTCCATTCTAATCTTCATAAAGCTCAACCTGCAGATAAATTTTTTGACCCTAATCAACGAGGGAAAGCCCTCCACCAAAAGCGAGCCCTTAATAAAAATCAGAGAAGTCAAACTGGGGAGAAGCTCTACAAATGTACTGAATGTGGAAAAGTGTTTATCCAGAAAGCAAACTTAGTTGTACATCAAAGAACTCACACCGGAGAGAAACCTTATGAATGCTGTGAATGTGCAAAAGCCTTCAGCCAGAAGTCAACCCTCGTAGCACATCAGAGAACTCACACAGGGGAGAAGCCCTATGAATGCAGTGAATGTGGAAAAACCTTTATCCAAAAGTCAACTCTGATTAAACATCAACGAACTCATACAGGAGAGAAACCATTTGTATGTAGCAAATGTCCAAAAGCCTTTAAGAGTTCATATCATCTTATTAGACATGAAAAAACACACATTAGACAAGCATTTTATAAAGGTATTAGATGTACTAAGTCCGACCTTATATATCAGAGAATTCACACAAGTAAGAAACCTGAGCGCAGTGAACATGGGAAAGCCTCTGATAAGAAGCCCAGTCCCACTAAACATTGGAGAACTCATACAAAAGAGAACATTTATGAGTGTAGTAAATGTGGGAAAAGCTTCAGAGGAAAGTCACACCTCTCTGTTCATCAGAGAATTCATACAGGAGAGAAACCCTATGAATGTAATATATGTGGGAAGACTTTCAGTGGAAAGTCACACCTCTCTGTCCATCATAGAACTCATACAGGAGAGAAACCTTATGAATGCAGAAGATGTGGGAAAGCCTTTGGGGAGAAGTCAACCCTTATTGTACATCAGAGAATGCATACAGGAGAGAAACCCTATAAATGCAACGAATGTGGGAAAGCCTTTAGTGAGAAGTCACCACTGATTAAACATCAGAGAATTCATACAGGAGAGAGACCCTATGAATGCACTGACTGTAAAAAAGCCTTCAGTAGGAAGTCAACTCTCATTAAACATCAGAGAATTCATACAGGAGAAAAACCTTACAAATGTAGTGAATGTGGGAAGGCCTTCAGTGTGAAATCAACTCTCATCGTGCATCACAGAACTCATACAGGAGAGAAACCTTATGAATGCAGAGACTGTGGGAAAGCATTCAGTGGGAAGTCAACTCTCATTAAACATCAGAGAAGTCACACAGGAGATAAAAACCTATGATTATACTTGAGAGTGGGATAATTATACTAGTAGTTATTTGTCATTTGACTATTTCTCATTATTTGTCAAATAATTAGTCATGGGGAGTAATCTTATAAATGTCTAGAATATTGGAAATTCTTCATATGTTAATGTTCATTTAACTTAATAAAAGGTACAAAAGTATAATTCCAGAGGTGTCAATAAATGTGGTCAGTTTTTTCACCCAGAATTCTTCACCCAGGAGTGAAGAACTATACATCAAATAATTCAAAAGGGGCAAAACTGAGTGTAGTTATGTGGGAAAGCCTTCAGAAAGCATTTAAATGGCACTGTTTATCAGAGTATTTATGCTGAGAAAAAGTAAGAATTTAGTGAGCTTATAAAACCATGGTAGCCAGGTGTGGTAGATAGCTCACACCTGTAATCCTAGCACTTTTGGGAGGCTGAGGTGGGCAGATCACTTAAGCTCACAAGTTTGAGACCAGCCTGGGCAACATGGCAAAACTCTGTCTCTACAAAAAACACAAAAGTTATCTGAGTGTGGTAGTGCATGCCTGTAGCCCCAGCTACTCGGGAGGTTGAAGTAGCAGGATGGCTTGAGCCCGGGAGGCAGAGGTTGCAGTGAACTGAGATCATGCCACTGCACTCCAGCCTCGGCATTATAGCCAGACCTGGTCAAATAAATAAATACACAAACTCATAGTAGAAATGAGAGGAATCATGCTCTATATTCTTTTATTAATAGAGACAGGGTCTTGCTATGCTGCCCAGGCTGGTGAACTCCTAGCCTCAACTGATCCTCCCACCTTTGCCTCCCAAAGCACTCAGATTATAGATATGAACCACCACACTTAGCATATTCTTTACCAAACATTTTGTGGAAAAGGTATAGAGGTGGCAAACAAACAATTATAAATTTAAGATATGTTCACTGTGGAGTAGAGTATGACTATTTAGGGACAGTGGCACGATCTTGGCTCACTGCAGCCTCTGCCCCCTGGGTTCAAGCGATTCTCCTGCCTCAGCCTCCCAAGTAGCTGGGATTACAGGCATCCACCAACACACCCAGCTAATTTTTTTTTATTTTATTTTATTTTTTGTATTTTTAGTAGAGACCTGGTTTTGCCATGTTGGGCAGGCTGGTGTCGAACTCCTGACTTCAGGTCATCCACCCTCCTCAGCCTTCCAAAGTGCTGCAATTACAGGCGAGAGCCACCTCGCCCGGTGAGTATGACATTTTTTAAAGAACAGTATAAAGCATAAAATACCCTATGTGGGGCAAACTCCCAGATTATTTTCCTAAACAAATAGAAAAAAAAAAAAATGCTTCCTTAAATAGGGTAAGAGAGGATGAGTCATCAGGATCCCTGAAACTAAGATCTCAAACAGGAGACCTCATATATATTATTCATCAATATCTTCAGTGCGAAAATGCAAAGCCATTACAGAAAGGGCACATAGTAAGTAAGCTTTTACATACTTTCCTTAGGAACAGTGCTTAGAACTTAAAATTCTCCATGTTTTAAGAAAGAGTAATAATTTTATGGTGAAGCAATATAAGATTTAACATTTTCAGAGTATCTTTCATAACAGCAGTATTTAAAGTAGTGAAAAAATAAGACAATTTAATATCCAGTGACAGCTGATTAAAAATTGATATGTCAATTAGGTGAAATAATGGGCACCAATTAAGACTACTGGCAAATTTGGGAAAATGTTCATGGTAAATCATAAGTTAAAAATATTATAAAACAATAACCATATGATTGATATTGTAAAAATAGGAAGTATATGAACCATTATATCAGCCATTTTGGGTGGTTGACATAAAAATTTTGTGATGAGTAAAGTCATATGCACATATGAGTATAAATTCATATTTCATCTATATAAGTATAAATTTGTATTCACCTATTTCATAGGTGAGTATATGTGTGTGCATAGATAAACACATGGAACAAAAAGCTAGTACATCTGTGTAGTGTGGAGGGAAAAAGCTAGGAAAGAAATACACCAAATTATTAAGTAGATTGGCATTTGAGTGTGGGGATTATTGATGTGTAAAAATTTTTTTGGATGTAGTCTCCAGAAATCACCAATAAAGTATATCGTTTAAAGTGTATCTTATGCATGCTTATTTTCTTTTCTTTTTTTTTTTAAATTTATTTATTATTATTATACTTTAAGTTGTAGGGTACATGTGCATAACGTGCAGGTTTGTTACATATGTATACTTGTGCCATGTTGGTGTGCTGCACCCATCAACTCGTCATTTACATCAGGTATAACTCCCAATGCAATCCCTCCCCCCTCCCCCCTCCCCATGATAGGCCCCGGTGTGTGATGTTCCCCTTCCCGAGTCCAAGTGATCTCATTGTTCAGTTCCCACCTATGAGTGAGAACATGCGGTGTTTGGTTTTCTGTTCTTGTGATAGTTTGCTAAGAATGATGGTTTCCAGCTGCATCCATGTCCCTACAAAGGACACAAACTCATCCTTTTTTATGGCTGCATAGTATTCCATGGTGTATATGTGCCACATTTTCTTAATCTAATCTGTCACTGATGGACATTTGGGTTGATTCCAAGTCTTTGCTATTGTGAATAGTGCTGCAATAAACATACGTGTGCATGTGTCTTTATAGCAGCATAATTTATAATCCTTTGGGTATATACCCAGTAATGGGATGGCTGGGTCATATGGTACATCTAGTTCTAGATCCTTGAGGAATCGCCATACTGTTTTCCATAATGGTTGAACTAGTTTACAATCCCACCAACAGTGTAAAAGTGTTCCTATTTCTCCACATCCTCTCCAGCACCTGTTGTTTCCTGACTTTTTAATGATCGCCATTCTAACTGGTGTGAGATGGTATCTCATTGTGGTTTTGATTTGCATTTCTCTATAGAACTCTCCACCCCAAATCAACAGAATATACATTCTTCTCAGCACCACATCGAACTTACTCCAAAATTGACCACGTAATTGGAAGTAAAGCACTCCTCAGCAAATGTACAAGAACAGAAATTATAACAAACTGTCTCTCAGACCACAGTGCAATCAAACTAGAACTCAGGACTAAGAAACTCAATCAAAACCGCTCAACTACATGGAAACTGAACAACCTGCTCCTGAATGACTACTGGGTACATAACGAAATGAAGGCAGAAATAAAGATGTTCTTTGAAACCAATGAGAACAAAGATACAACATACCAGAATCTCTGGGACACATTTAAAGCAGTGTGTAGAGGGAAATTTATAGCACTAAATGCCCACAAGAGAAAGCAGGAAAGATCTAAAATTGACACTCTAACATCGCAATTAAAAGAACTAGAGAAGCAAGAGCAAACACATTTGAAAGCTAGCAGAAGGCAAGAAATAACTAAGATCAGAGCAGAACTGAAGGAGATAGAGACACAAAAAACCCTCCAAAAAATCAATGAATCCAGGAGTTGGTTTTTTGAAAAGATCAACAAAATTGACAGACCACTAGCAAGACTAATGAAGAAAAGAGAGAAGAATCAAATCGACGCAATTAAAAATGATAAAGGGGATATCACCACCGACCCCACAGAAATACAAACTACCATCAGAGAATACTATAAACACCTCTACGCAAATAAACTGGAAAATCTAGAAGAAATGGATAATTTCCTGGACACTTACACTCTTCCAAGACTAAACCAGGAAGAAGTTGAATCCCTGAATAGACCAATAGCAGGCTCTGAAATTGAGGCAATAATTAATAGCCTACCAACCAAAAAAAGTCAAGGACCAGATGGATTCACAGCTGAATTCTACCAGAGGTACAAGGAGGAGTTGGTACCATTCCTTCTGAAACTATTCCAATCAATAGAAAAAGAGGGAATCCTCCCTAACTCATTTTATGAGGCCAACATCATCCTGATACCAAAGCCTGGCAGAGACACAACAAAAAAGAATTTTAGACCAATATCCCTGATGAACATTGATGCAAAAATCCTCAATAAAATACTGGCAAACCGGATTCAGCAACACATCAAAAAGCTTATCCACCATGATCAAGTGGGCTTCATCCCTGGGATGCAAGGCTGGTTCAACATTCACAAATCAATAAACATAATCCAGCATATAAACAGAACCAAAGACAAGAACCACATCATTATCTCAATAGATGCAGAAAAGGCTTTTGACAAAATTCAACAGCCCTTCATGCTTATTTTCTTTTCCCATCCATTTTGCCACTCAGCTTTGTCTTTAATATGTAACATCATTCTCTTCTTAAAATGACCCCATTTTCACATATGTATACATATTGCCTATTTGTTTTCCGTATGATTGAGTTTACAGTTTTGAGTGTGTACATAGTTGACCCTTGAACAACATGGGTTTGAACTGTGTATGTCCACTTCTATGTGGATTTTCTTCCACATGTGCCACCACTGAGACAGCAAGATAAACCCTTCTTTCTCCTCCTCATCCTATTCAACATGAAGATGATGAGGATGAAAACTTCTTATGATCCACTTCACTGAATGAATAGTAAATAGAATACATATATAATACACAAAATGTGTTAATGGACTATATATATAATCAGTAAGGCTTCTGGTCAACAGTAAGCTATTAGTAGTCAAATTTGGGGGGAGTAATAAACTATATGCAGATATTTTACTGCTGGAGGGTCAGTGCCCATAATCCCATGTTCCAGGGTCAACAATACTTTGCATCTTGAGACTGGGAGTCCTATGATATTTGGAGGCAGGGGCTCTCAGTATGTTATTCAGGCTGGTCTCGAATTCCTGGGGCCAAGCAGTCCTGCTCAGCCTCCCAAGTAGCTGGAAATACAGTATCCTATGATTTTAATAATACCTGTATGTGATTTTTCTGATAAAAGCATCTCAATCGCTTTTTATTCTATAACCACCAAATCCTGTGACATAAGTTACTAGTTAACAAATTTTACAAGTGAGAGATGTAAGGAATGCTTAAGTGTTCAAGTAATGAGACAAAATCAACTTCTGAAGAAAGCTCTTTTCACTGTGATATTTGTGAGTGCTCCTGAATGCCTGTACTCCCTCTTGTCCCTGTCCTTTTGTTAGCAGTTAAGGCAGAAACCCTAGATGACCCCCAATGATTAATGCCCTATATAATCCCTCCCCTGAAGGTGGGCAGAACTGAGACTGCTGCTAGCCAATAGAATATGGGCAA